CCTTTTTATCGGTACCGGAGATCGAACTCACGACCGCCTGCTTGCAAGGCAGGTGCTTATGCCGCTGAACTAAATCCCCAGCCCTTCATATTGATTTTTATAGTGGTTTTGACAGTTTATTTTCCCACCAACACTGTAGAATATTTCCTTTTTTATTAAAGCCTTACCAGAATTTATTAATTCTTGATGCTAAATAAGAATAAGATGGAATCTCAGTGTTGTTTTAATCTAGATTTGTATAAAGGCCAAAGATAGCAAATATTTTGCATCTTTTTTTGTCAATTCTTCTTTTTCTTCTTCTTCTTCTTCTTCTTCTTCTTCTTCTTCTTCTTCTTCTTCTTCTGCTTTTTCTCCTTCTTTTTTTTCCTCCTCCCCCTCCTCCTTTCCTTCTTCTTTTTCTTCATTTCTGTTCATTTCATTTAACTTTCTTTTAATTAGTTCTTTTATTTTAGGGAACCTAACTGTTTAGTATTCTTAGTATTCTCTAAGTACTAGTTCTGTGTCTGAGGAGCAGGTTGGAAAGATTTTCCCATTCTTAGGGTATCTCTTCACTTGTGGGTTGGTTCCTTTGCTATGCAGAAGCTCTTTAATGTGATATAGTTACTTTTATTGATTCGTGATGTCATGTTTTGTGCAATCGGGATTCTGTTCAGAAAGTTCATCTCTATATCTGTGTCATAAAGAATTGTAACCATTTTATCTTTTAGAAAACTGCTTCTGTCCTAATGTGAAATCTTTGACCAATTTTGATTTATTTTCTAACCAGGTGAGAGGTAAGGTTCCTGATTCTGTGTAGTAAGTTTTCTCAGAATGATTAGTTTAACAAGCTATCTTTCCTCCAGTAGATCAAGATCACTTGCTGAATGGGTTTGCAGTTGTTTCTGAAGCCTCCATTCTGTTCTACTTTTCTGTTTTTGGGTCAGTATCATGTTGTTTTATCACTATAGTTTTATAATAAAACTAAAATTGGCATTTGCCATGTTTCCTGCTTTGGTTCTGTTGTCAAGGATTGTTTTTGTTACTCCAGAGCTCTTCTGGTTCCATATGAATTTTAGAATTGTCCCCTTCTAGTTCTGTGTAAAAATGCTTGTGTTATTTTAATTTGGTGCCTTGTGGCTTTTAAGAGATGGAGAGATATGAAGTATGGGTAGATTTTAAAAGTAATGGCAATGTCCAAAACTTATTTTGGAAACAACACACTTTTCTTTCATTATATACTTTAAGTTCAATGTGTTTTATAAACTGTTCTTTATGTATGAAAAAATTGCACAGTCAGCAAAATAATATGTGTATTATACCTCATGTTGTTTCTTCGATTTGAAAAACAATACAATTTTTATCCATTCAGTTGTGATATATTTAATCCCTCTGTGGCCAGTCGTCGTCCCTCTCAGAAGAGTTAGAATCTATCTGTGATAAATCCAGAGCAGTTCAATAAACTTTTGGAACATTTTACCATAGCGATGTGTTTAGAGTCATTAATGTGACCCATATAATGATCTGTGAGCATGAGACGATTCTCTTTTCAGGGTATGAGAAGGTGCATAAAAGATCTCAACTTAGCTCAGTGTCATAAGTGTTTGCCTGACAAGTGCGAGGTCATGAGTTTGATCCCAGATACTGTAAAAAACAAAACAAAACAAAAACAAAAACCTTCAAATAGATAAAATTTACACTGTAGGTTAAAAAGCCAATTTTCTCACTTGGAATAGATTAAAGGAAATAAGACACAGAGACAGAAACCTGTTTCTTCTTATAACAACAGGGCTTCTGAATGTTAGAATGAGATGAGGGATAGCATATTTGTCTATATTTCTATTAGAAATGACTCTAATGTACTTCATATAACTCTATGGCAAATGTTGAAAACTATACCCTAGACAACTTTATCATGGAATGGGATATATCTAATCCATATAGAAAAAAAATGAACTAATTGATATGTTTCTTGCCTAGTATATTTCACATTGAATAGATTAATATATTTAATAATTCATGAATATCAGTACAAGGGGGTAGATTGAATATATCCATTAAGGAAACTTACCCATGGAGCTGCTGTGATTAAAGTGGCAGATATTGTTACTCTAGTCCATCTTTCCCATTACTGTATAGATTGGCCAAGGGAAAATAATAAAGCATAGCTGAGACAACAACCAGTTTAAAGTTAGAGGAGGAAGCTTAAGCAAATGTTAGGGGAAAGAAGACAGAAAGACACAAAGATTGTTGTCCTGTCAGACTGAGCAGTGTTGGGACACAATTGATTAGAGGGTATTCCCGTGAAATTTGGGGACACTACAAGGCACATGATATTAAGAATTGTGGTTTTGATAGATGATTAGAAAAACTTGAACTTCTTAGAAGTTCTGATATAAATATGAGTTTAATTCTTAATTTAATTATTTCCTAAATATCTAAGCATAATTCAGTCTTCAGGTTATAGGCCAAAGGTATATTCTTAACTGTTGCATGTAAAAAGCATTGTATAAAATGTTTCAGTTTTAGCTAAGAAGGGGTGAACTGGTCTTACCAGTCATACTTGTTGGTCTTAGATCCCAGAGTGAGTGATTTTGTAAGTTGAATCGTAGCACAGGGAGATTCTGCTTCTATGCAAGTGTAATACTCATGTCTATCTGTGCCTGTATAAAGACTTCCAAAATGAATGTATGCTAAAATCTCTCTTGGAGGTAATGTTTACTTATTCACTAACTCATTCACTTTACTTTTCAATTTTGGTGCATAATGTTTAGCATGATGCCTTAGTTTCTTTTCTACTATTTCTACAAAATTGGGAAGGATTATATTAGAATACTAGTTCTAGTAATAAAACGCCAAGAAACATTACTTTGTATAGCAAGGAGTCATCAGTTGTTTAAAGTGTACCATTTGGAGACTTATGACATAAAGATGCATTGAATGTCAAGGAAGAAAAACGATATTTTCAATAAAATTATACACTTAATTTACACAAAAGTTAAAGAAAACCAATTCAACTACTTTTGAAAATAATACTGCAGAAGATATTTTATGTTTACTATGAATTAATTTTGAAAGCTAATAGATAACTATATTATTACTAAATAATAACATTGGCAATATGGATAGGCAAGCCTTTTTACTAAGTATCTATGTTCATTACTGCACATATTAAAAACTAATTTCTGAATGAGGTATAGCTCAATGGTTAGGTGTTTCCTCAGCATGTGTGAGGAATTTTGTGATCACCAGTAGCACAAACAACAACAAATTAGTTTCATTGATACGTAGTGCTATTTTTACTTGAAATTGTTCCATAGCCATAATGTAAAAGGATTTTTGATAATTCTAGGGTTTATGCTTTCTGTTTTCAAAGGGTAATCTCACAAACAAGGAGAGGTAGAAGATTTTTGAGATAGTTATCTTTATGCTTTTTTATATTATTTTTAACTTGACAACACTTTTTCCAGTTTGTAGGATTAGTGAAATAATTTCAAGTTACAAAATGCTCTGTTGGATTGTGGATTTCACACAAAACGGTTTTGCCCAACAGTTAAGTTTCAGTGGGAAATTAAATCTAGGCAACATCAGGGATTTAAAGCTTTTATTTGTGACTATTTACATTAAACTATTTTAAAATATTTGTTTTGACTCCTGCTCCCTCACTTTATATATAGTATTTTATCTCAGTATTAACAAAGAGATTTATATAATATGTAGTTTTTATTTAAAAAAAATCAAGCAGACCTGTGAGAAATAAGTCTGAAGGAGCCTGTGAATTATAAATTAAGTTTCTTTGCCTCAAGAAAACACTCAGCCTCCATGAAGAATTCACTAAGCTGTCTTAACCACTTGAATCTTTCTAGCTCAGGAAATATGCAGAATGTTCTTCCTCTTTATCTGCTTTCATTTGTAGGCAGACAAATTAAAACTTGCTTTCTGCTACCTAGAAACTCACAATTACTTGAAAACATTTCACATTCAGTCACCATGCATTAGTGATGTCACAGTTTATTTTGGGGCATGCAAAGTTTTACTTTTCTGAGCATTTGCTTTCTCTTTTGAGACATAAATTTCCATAATGCAAGAACCTCAGATTGGCAGCTTTATAATCTACACTTCTTGGATAAGATTCACTGTTGAAAAAAAGTGGAAATTTTATTTTTTTCTATTGTCTGTTTCCCTTTGCAGCATCAAATAAGATATCGATATTTCTTGGCACTTAAGCTAGTTACTTACTGTGACTTAATGAGCTGCTATAAAGTGAGCCCTAAGCCCACCGTGCATTTCATGCAACTATTATTTGAACTTCTTTTCAGAAGGATTAATCTGGTAATCAATATCATTCTTATTGTGCCATTTCCAGAAGCACTAAAAACACTTGCGTTCCCAAGCAGGGCTTGGCTGCTTCCGCTAACCTTGTCTAAGACTGCACAATGCACAAGGGGGATTCACACAGGTGGGTCACCATGGCTGTAGTCACCATTGTTTTTTTAACTATTCTAGAAAGGGACAAAACCTTCAATTGCATTATAAAGAAGGATTTAGATGTTCAAAACAAGAATTGAAACTGTTTCTTTTACTGAAAAGAATATGTTAAGACATCAATTATGAGTTGTTTTTAAGACACTGATATTGAAAGATTATTTTACATCATTAACCCATAGGGATGTAGTAAAACTTCGTCCTTATCAGAATTCTTTCTTTTCCTTTAAAATTAGAATTTTGCAAGGAAATAGGGAGCAGTCAATACTTAAAGAACTGATACACAAAATTTATTTTGAATAATAGCACGTCTATGTGATATTTTTTACAGATGCTTTACAGATTATAGACATGCTATGACCTTTTTCTCCCAATTACAAACAGATTAAGCAGAGCTGATTAGGAGAGACTAAAAACACTGGGGCATTTTTCTCTTGTAGGGGTCTTTGATGGTGCCTCCTGTTTGAGCCCTCCCATTTTATTCGCTTGCAAATCGCTGTGCCCAAAGAAGTCTTTACTCCCCCAAACCCAAGCCTGGAGCCCTGCAGCGCCATCAGCTGCAATATCTTCTTTTCTGAAGAACGTCGCTTATTAATCAGAAACGCGGAATGGAAACCAATCAGATAGGAGAGTTCCATTGGCTTCAGCTTCCTGCCTGTCTGAGTTAAAAGTGATGCTGGAGAGAGAGGCACACTGAGATGCCTGAAGATTCAGCTGTGAAGATACCATAAAAAGAAAAGAGAAGGCATGAGACAGAGCCACAACGGAACTGCCAGTGCTAAGCAAAGCTAAACTCAAATAAGGTAAGCGCTACTTACTTTGCTTAAAAATACAAGCTGGCTAGTTTTTGCTTTTTTTCAGTGAAGTAGTGCAAATATTGCTTCTAGTTGCTAGGTCTCTCTCTCTCTCTCTCTCTCTCTCTCTCTCTCTCTCTCTCTCTTTCTCTCTCTCTCTCTCAGCAGGTAAGAAATATTTAAATTTAAATGCCATTGCTAAAACATACAATATTTGTTTCTTATTTTTAAAAACTCTGATCCCTATCCAGTCTCTTCCTATAGTCCTCAAATGTCCGTACAGAATATTATCATAAAAATAAAGCTAAACTTGAAATTGTATTGGTTGCTTACAGGAGCTTTGAATTTCTCATTTATGAATGTGTTTATAGACATTTTTATTATGTTAATTTGAAATGGCTTTCTGGCATTCTCATAACTTTTCTTCCAATAATTTGAATCAGAACTATCAAAAATATGGCATATTTATAATTTATTAAGTCAATATTTAAAAATAAGATAAAATACAAGTAGCAGAAGTGGCTCATATGGAAGTAAGCATTAGCTGTCACATATAAGTTGTGCATTTACACAGGAAAAGGAGATTTCTTCAGTAGTTATGATTGTCTCTCATGTCAATGTTACAAATTTAGACGCTTCAACTGTAATTGGCAAATGGATCTAAATGGAATGGAGACTTGAAGCAAACCACAGGAAACTGAATGTGTCAAAAGCAATACTAGCATTTTTAAAATTTGAGGCAATGTGGAAAATGCAATGATTTGATGAAAAGCTTTATTTTGTTGTTTGTTTTCCAGTCTAACCATTCATAGCAATTACATTTTTGCATGTACATTAATCTCAGTAATTGCTAATGAATTTTACTTCTTAGGGTATCATAATTCTACATGGTATTTATAGTTAGATATTTTTAATGGAGTGAAGTTTTTAGAAGCTCTTTTTTTAACAACAAATGTACAAAAAGAGAAAAGTTGTCAGCTACTAGATAAGTTTATATTTATTCATGTGAACAACTTTTTCATAAGGATGTAATGAAATATAGATTCAAGAAGAGGTAGTTCATTCTTGGGATTTGTTGTAATTTATTATGTTATATTGTAGATATATGAAGCTGTCAACTGTTTTTTTTTTTTTTTCTTTTTTTTTTTTCACAAGACTCCTAAATTCTGTTTAGCGTAAAGAATTAATGATATTGTAGGATTAAAAACATGGTAATTTTTGTGAAATAGGAAGGAAATTTCTTTTGGCTGCCTGTGGCTTAATCTATGAAAGTGAAGTGTTACCCATATTCAATGCATTTATTTTGGAAAAAAAGAAAAGGAAAAACTGCTTTCAATAAAAATAACCACTGTTTTCAGATTCAGTCACTAGCTCATTGCCTGGCAATGCTGTGTCAACTGTGGAACACATTGTGTAACTGTGGAGCTGGTTAATGCAGATTTGAACAGTAGATCTTTTGAGAGATAAAGATATTCAAATAATCTGCTATTCCAGCACATTACATAAAGAACTTGGATGTAAAGTACACATCGTGTATTTGTACTCCTGTTACCAAACATATTATGGACTTCAGTAAAGTTTTCTGAAGCTCAGAATGCATAAGTAATTGTATGCATTTAATAGACACAGGCTGACGTGGAAATACTACCAAATTTGTATGGATATGTTTTGAAAAATGAAAAAAATATGATAAAATATATGCTATAAGCAAATCTAGTTTGGACAAATGAGAAAATGCTCTTAAGTAAGCAGATGGTAGTGGCAATTCAAAAGTAGTGGATAAAGTTTAAGTGAAATATATTTGACAGTAGTAATAATATATTAATAATATAACATTTTCTAGGTTAGAAAACTGCATTTTCCTTTAAATTATACTATTTGGTAGTTTTAAAAATATCTGTAATGGTTTAATTACTTATTTTATATTCACTAAATAACTAAAAAATTGGTTATTCCACTGCCAGATCACAATTCAAAGTTGATATTGAAATTACATTTTTCAGTGTGAAGTTGGGTATGATTCAGAAGTTTTTTCCACCTCACCTTGCATTGACAGAATGAATTTTTTTTTTTTTAATGTTGTTATAGTGCCTTGGAGGAAGAGCTTAGTGAACACAATATTCTTTCATGATATATGTCCTTAATGAGATTTTTAAAAAAAAAGATTTTTCTTTCCTACTTGTTAATCTGTCTTATGGCATCAATCATAGCAAGATGGTCTTTCTTCATAATATTTCTAAACTATGTCCGGATATCTATTCATAATGCTTTCGTGAGTAGCTAAAAGTATGTAATACAAAATATACGAGGAACATGGCAGTATACTTTGTGAGAACAAATAAAGATGAAAATTAATTTAAGAAAGTACATAGGATTGTATAAAATAAACATTGCCTGTAACTTGTTCTCGGTGAAAGAGAAAAGGCAGGATGGAGCATTTTACTTGTTATTAACACAGAAGCTTCAATGTAACTTTCATTAGTTTGAACTCTTCTTAATTTGTTCACTCAAATCTGCCTATATTTTAGAACTCATATGCTTGAAAAACAAAGTGTGATACTTTAAAAAATGTCAGATGTAATATTTTAAATATACACTTGAAATTAAGGGTATGCATTTATGCACATATAAGAATATGTATAGGTAGATATAATGTGTGCTTATATATATATATATATATATATATATATATACCAAAAAAAAAAGAACAGATATGTTCGCTGTAGCATAAGGTTCTTTGGTGAGGTTTTTGTCACTGAAAATGGTTCTTGGGTATTTTACTTGTTAAATAATTTATTTAAAGTTGGGTTTTCTTGAAAAAAAAAAAAAAAAAAAAACAAGCTGAATGTCACCAACATAGACCTTACAGAGGTTCTTTTTGTTTGATTCTAATCTGAAGCTGCTTTTATCATGTGATCCCTTTTATTTAACACTCTAAAACATGTTTACTAATATGAACCAATTAATTTTTCTGTATCTTGCATATTTATCTTAAAATGAATTTTATATTTCCAAACAGATTCCAATTAATCCAATTAACATCCAAGATGTTATCTTATTTAGGTTTTTACATAAAATTTTAGAACTTTTACATTAGCAAGTTGAATTACTTCCAACTGGGATTTTACAGTAGAGAAAACTGAGATTTTAAAAGATCAGATTACATAACTAAAGATGTCCAATGACATATGAAAATCTGTCAACATTATGTGCAAATACAACATGATAAGTCATGAAAATTACATTCATAATATTGATGGGTAGATGAGTAATAGATGAATGATATATGTATGTTGAGACAATTGATCATTACTCAATAGATGAATGATACATAGATAGATGGACAGATATCAATAATTCCTTTATTTTTTTGAATGTCTTGGAAAAGTTTTACCACTCATGAGTTGCTTTCGTTTCTGTGCCTGGAAGCTCCATTATCCTCATTATTTAAAAATAGTAAAGTATGCAAAGTGCAGAGTGTTTTTATAGCATTTATTCTGCTGCAGTCCTAACGTGTTAGTGCATTTATTCTTAAACATGGCACTAGCTGGAGATGGTCTTAGAGCTACATTACAGATGTAAAGTGCCAGGACAAAACAGATTCTGGAGCCCAACCAAGTGTTAACACTACCGAGAAACACTTTACCAAAAATAAATCATGATAATGGATTTTACTGTCTATGCAAGGAAAAAGGAGGTGTCAGGGAGCATCGTTGTCCATTGCTCTGTGGTTTTGTTTTTGTTTTAGGATGACAAGTGGAAAAAGAAAAAGAGCTAAATATTTCTTAAAGTGACATTCAAAGTTATTTTTTCCAATCTCTTTAATTTTGGAAATCATAAATCAATCACAAGAATAGTGCCCTCATATATTCTGCTTCTCTTGATGAGAAGTTTTAGTCTTTCTAATTACAAAACATCAGAACATGATTAGTTGATAAGTAGAGATTAAAATATTTTCCCCTCATGTCCAGTTTTTGGACACGATTCCATGATGAAGAGGAACAGCAATGAATTCATTATATTTTTTCCTTCACTTATTTCAATTTATAGTGGAAATATTAGTAACTAATTAGTAACTAATAGTTATCACATGATGTTTGAGTTCAAAGTTTTAATATAATCTTAATGTATATCTGATATGTTTTATATTGGTATATGCTGTACTTACTACATTTCATATATTACTAATAGAATATTGAATGAATAATCAACCTTTTTATATCTAGTAAAATAACATCTTTGGAGACTAATACAAAATCCACAATACTAAGAAGAAGTCACTTTGAAAAAAACACAGTCAATGCACATAACCACGTGTTGTCCAGGCAAATGAATACCAATAATTTGCTTCCTGGGTCAAAAGCTACACATGCTACATTAATGGAACTATAACATTCTTCCTAAAAGTGCTCAAGACCTCTTTTCCACATGTTTTTTCCCCTGAAACAAGTTACTTTTATAACTTTACCTAAGTAACAGAAACAATTTTGTCAAAATATTTGGACCTGCGTGTTATAAATTCTTCAAAATAAAAGTAATTTAAAAGAAATTAAAATATTTTATTTCAAGTTCACTTTTGAAACTTTTAAGAAAATTTAGTTTCACAGATTCAAGTCTGTCTGTGTCTGTGTATTTCTATGTCTGCATATACGTTTATATCTCCATTTATATACCTATGTATCTTTATCCACAGGTACCACTCTGTATGCGTATTTGTATATGGATCAAAATATACCAAATAAAAGGAAGTAACATAATTAGTTATTTTCATGTGTAAATATGTTAAAGGCTTCATGTATAATAAAGGTGGAGCATGAGATATTTAAACTCTTTTTTGGTGGAAACTATACATATTGCATCATGAACAAGTAAAAGCATTATAACGTTTTTATTTTTAGATAAATGTAAGAAAATGCTAAGGTTCCACAGTTTTCTCAACAGCAGAGTCTCATAGTAGTTCCAGCTGAATAATGTCACATCACTGTCATTCATATAGTTCTCACCAGATTTCAGCAGTATACAGATTTTGTTTAACAGATGACACTTTGGTTGAAGATCAAAACACTTTATTTAATTCAGAGGTTACTCACTTTAATACCAAAGACTAAACTAGGCTTTGTAAGTTTTATGTTAAAATAAATCTTTAAATATATTCAGAGTAAGAAAATATTATATTAAAGTGAATCTGTCACATATGTATGTCTTATATTTCAATAACTGTATTAGTATATTATACTTTTCAAAATTATGCAAAAATATTGATAAATAAATACTATACAAAGTGTTTATGGAGCTCTCACACTAGTTTGAACATTCCAGATTACAGATTTGGGGAAATATCCCTGTTTATAAATAATATTTTGTTTCTTAAAAAATCTATAACAGATTTATACATGAAATTGATTGTTTTACTTTCTTTTACTTATTTTGATCCACACAGATATGCACACACAGTTGTACTTATGGATAAAGATATACATGTATGTAAATGAAGACATAGAATATATGCAGACATATATATCTAGATATGAAATCATAATTTTGAAAATTAGTCATTTTTCAGTCACACAATACAGACAATACTGAATATATTCATACAATACATTGTTTTTCTACAAATATGACATGTTTTCTAAAATATCAGGGTATTTGGATTTATTAAATTACAGTTGTATATCATTTATTAAAATATTAAATGTTTGATAATTTATCAATTTTTTCACAATTCATGGTTTTGTGTAAAAAACGTACATGAAATTGAGCGTCAGTTATATACACTGTGAGAAAAATGTTAATGTCAAGAAGTATCAAGTCATTTGCAAAAAAGTAAAATACGAACCAACTTTAACACACAGAATAGAAATTGTATCAGTCCAGAGACCAACAAGTCATTCTTATTTTGCATGACTTAAAATCTTCTTGATAACATAAATAATATATCAAATGATGTGCTTATGTGTTCAAATATATATGTACATAGATTAAATATACGTGATGACTTGATATTTCTAATATGCAAAGTGGAGATGCTTTTATTTTTGATTATTAGAGCTGGTGTTTGTACTCAGAGCCTCACAAAATCCAAGCCTGTGCTACATCCTCAGTCCCAAGTTCCACATTTTGTGTTGAAAGTATTATAGATATTTTATCCTTGAAATATACTTAGAATCTTTAAAGAAAGTTATCCACCTTTTTTATCTTTTTCTTCTGCTTCAGTTGTAAATTATTTTGTGCCTAAAATAGAGTTCACTTTAATTGTACATTGCCTACCACTTTCTAACAAATTAAGCATAAACCTTCGGTGATTCATAGAAAGCAGACAGACTTTTCCCAAGCAGTGAACTGTGCTGAATTATTTATCTTCTTACTTGTGCTTTCCTCCTTTATCTCAACTCCAGCTCTGCTGACACTTCTGCTTCCACACCTACTGCTTTGCTTCTTATCATTTTTCCCCATGCCACTCCTCCACTTCAATGGCAGAATATATTTAACTACAAGTGCCTTCCGTTTTTTAACTTGGCTTTCATTGTGAAAGATGATTCACTGTGTAACTGAAAGAGGCTTTTCCCACATAGAAATTCTATAGAAGTTGGAAATTAATAAGAAGTTCCAATATGTTTTATGAGAATTTTCTTTGAAACTTTTTCTGCTTCTACTATCTAAACTAACTGAAAAGGGGCCTCATGCAAAGATGAATATTACTAAAGTTATATTCATTGAGAGAGAGAGAGAGAGAGAGAGAGAGAGAGAGAGAGAGAGAGAGAGAGAGAAAGCCCTTCCACTAATAAGAGAGTTTGTCCAAGAGTTAAAGAATGCAAACCTGCATGTATACACTACATGAACATTTGTTAAGGAAAGCTGGAAATCAAAAGCTGAGGCAATCATTGTGTATTTTCATATTCTTAAAATAAGCAGATGAGGGAAAATACGTTGGAGACATACATGCAGACTGATTGAAATCAAGAGACCCATGCTTTGTTTTGGGTACTACAGATGGAGACCAGGAAGCTCCACATGCTAGAAAAGTGCTCCATGGCTTATCCATGTCTACCCTACATTTTTTTTTTTTTTTTTAACTTTGAGATGCAGATTCCTTAATTGGCTCAGGCTGATGTTGATCTTGCAGGATCCTCCTGCCTCAGCCTCCTGAATAGTTTGGATTATAAACACCACAACAGCACTTCGCCTCATCCACCATTTCACATTGACAATAAATCTCGTGTTCCATTTGCATACAGTGAGACACCGTGTACCTGGCAGTGCTCAAGTACAGTTGGAAGCAATATTTCTTCTGCTCCCACCATAATGTGATACTTCAATCAATGCAGAACGAGAAGTTGGTTTGCAACCTTTCATCAGGCCCTCATTTTCTCTTATTTTAAACTCACAATCAGGAAAAAGAGCATTCTGTAATTCATAATTACGTATCGATCCGTCCATTGGATGTTTATTTCATTTTGCTACATTCAAATTTCCAACTAATTGAATCCCACTGTTTCCAATCTCTGTGTGTTGGAACAGCGCTTGCTTCGCTGGGGAGGTCGTGTCCAGATGCAGACAACTGCTGCTCCCAAAAAGCGTCAGTTTTCAGACATCACATTCACCATTGTGACAAAATAGCGACTTGTAAGTTTTCCTTTGTCATTTTCTTCTTTTATCTGACTTTTGCTTATATAGCATGGAATTAACAACAGGAGGACTTGTATACTAGCATAAAGTAATTTGAAGAAAAATTTTTGTCTATTTTCCCTTCATTATACACATTTGACATTACTTAGATTTTGCAGTTAGTACCATTTTATAGTTCACTTGACTGTCCAAACTACTTTATGTGGAAGAAATTCTCCTTTAAAAGCTGTCCCTAAAATTGAAATCAGTAATCCTGATACGAATCTAGACTACAAAATAAACACAACTATAACTCCTTTTTAAAAGCTTATTTTGGAAAAATAAATAAAAGTATTTTGAAATCAATTCAAGACTGCTTTTATTAATTACACTGTTTCCAAAAGACAAGGATGGCTAATAAATCTTCATGACTAGCAGTCATTTTACACAGGGCAGATACTGCCAAATTCTGGAGATGTGACTTTTGTCACAACTACATCTCTTCTTTCACTGGGTAATCTTTGAGCCATTTTCCTTGCTCATTTTCTCTTATTTTAAACTCACAATAAGGAAAAAGAGCATTCTGTAATTCATAATTACGTATCGATCCGTCCATTGCGTGCTTTATTATTTTAATAGTCTTTTAACTGCTTACTTGGTCTCAGCAACACATTCTATATAGCATAATTTCATAAGTTAAGAATCCAACCAGGGGGCTGGGGATTTCACCCAGAGGCATAAACACTTGTCTGACAAGTGCAAGGTCGTGAGTTTGATCCTGACACACACAAAACATAAATAAATAAATAAATAATCTAACTAAGTTATTATTTCTTCCCTTACATTTCCAAGAGCCTATTGCTTCCACAAATAAGTCAATACTCCTCGGCCTTAAATCCACATTTGGCAATTGTGCTTTATCTCATATTTAAATTTTTCATTCTAGTTTAGCGCCTTAAGACTATGCTGTCTGTTTGTATGTCTGTAATGCAGATTATAAAGTTAATGCAGTAACTAGAAATATCCTTAAAACACACAATTTCCTCAAGAAATATTTGAGAAATCAAAATTACATTTCAAGTGCACTTTCAAAATCACTCGAGATTTGCAGATCACCAAAATAGATACTGTACTTCATGAAACTGTTGTCTTTCTCTGTCGTTGTTATATATTATTATCCATATGTCATTTTTTCTAACATCTATGAGTTTTTCAATAAGTAAGTATTTCCTATGTACCACATTCAAAATGTAAACAGTATGACTTGAAAGTTTTACCAAGGAATGCTATAAATGCATGGTCATAAATACATCTGAAAGTCATTGCCTTAAAATTTTCAAAATGTAGTTTCCAATAGCCAAATTATCATGCTTTTTTAAAAAAATTGTATTTAATTTTTAATGTCATTTTTTTCTGGATGTATCTTCGTAACTTTTATAATATTATTAAAAACTTTTCTTATCACTCAGAAGAGTTATGAACTATTTTAACAGTCCACAAATTAAATTGTTTTTCCTGGCAATGTGACTTTCTTGGGATAATACCAAAGCACACAAGCTTATGTTGTCAGAAGAACAAGTTCTATTCTGGAATCTGCATTGACTTTTTTTGTTTTGGTGGTAGTTTATCTTCACCATGAATGCAAACTGTCTCAGCTCTGAAAAGTAATAAGCAAAATTTTATGTTGCTTGGGCAGCAGGGTGCTGGATTCAGATATATATATATATTGGAAATATCTTACAATGTCTTGGGGGTGCTTTACGTAAAATGAAGATGTTACTAGCATTTGTATTTTAGGATATCGCAAGGAGACACAAGATGCTTATCATTGTTCTTAATATAAAAGAATATTATTGCTCAAGTTCTTGATATTTGTGTAAACAGTATTTGAAACATTCGTGTGTGAAATTAGGAGAGAAATCGAACTTAACTCAATGATTTAGTTCATTGTTCTTGACATAAAAGACAATAAACCTCAGAAGTAAATTTTAGTATTATGAATATTAGTACACATACGTAATATTGTTTCTTAAGTCAATATGACATATGATGTAAATTGCATATTTTAATAATTTTGTAATGCATGGTTTTACTATTTTGAAATGAGCATGAATATTACTTCCAAAAATAAAGTGAAATTTTTACCTAAAGTTTTTTTATAGGAATATTACTCGTGGGTTTTAGAAATGTAAGTTATAGAATTTTTTTAAAATAAATAGTAAAATTTCATATTGTCTCACAGCACAAATTTTAATGCCAGATATTTAATATTTTTTTCTATTTTCTTATGATTTCTTTTTTTTTTATTCTTTGAATTATATTCATGACTGTAAATGACATTCGTGACCTGAAAAAGAGTAAGGCTTATAAAGATTGCTCACTTGTATGAAGATTTTATTGGGGATTGAATAAAAATTATAATAATTGAATAATTATAGTAGCATTTCTAATGGTACCATGAGTGTCATGTATTTCTGTGGATGATGTTGGTCATTTGAATTATATCCTTAAATCTTATAAAATGATATTAATAGTATAAAATATAGGAAATATTCAGATCATATGTTTTAGTGTGTTAGTTGTATAATCATATATTTACTCAATGTAACACCAAATATTTACTCAATTTTCACTAAACAAAGCATTTTTAGGAATCACAGGGTCAGTTCTAGAATCTTGTCAAATGTAAATAGTAGTAATTCATTTCCTATCTGGTGACTTTATTTTTAACATAATTTTCATTTTTCTAGTATGTTTTCCACAAGTGAAAACCCTGTTCTACAATCACAATTCTTCTCTACTCCCAAGGCCTATCTCTACTCTCTGTAATATTATATTTAACTTTTTGGGGCCTATTTTCTGGTTTCTACTTCCTTATACTAGCTTACTCTTTCAATGATCTCCAGCAAAATTTTCCAAGTTAACTGTATTAATATAACTGTGTTTCTTTGAACAAGGACTTTAATATTCCTTTGGTTGCTATCCAGTCATTTTCCTTATCAAAACTGAATTAAGTGATCACTCCAGACTTCTGCTGTTAAGCCTTCTCAAATAAGATATGTTTGTTTAAAAAACCAATCTTTGACCTTCTCTCGAACTGGCTGAATATTGCTTGACAATACCAGTCAGCGGTGTACCCTGAAAAAAACCACGACATTTTAGCAAGTGCACAAATACTGTGGCGTTTGTTTTTTTTTTTTTCCCCTTAAAGGATACATACGAAATATACATTTCATCCTAAACACTAAGCGTCATATTTTGGCTAAATATAAATTTAAAAATGAACATATCACTCAACATGAAATGTAACAGTATACAAAAATCTTTCAATTCATATTTTTCCAAAGGAAAAGTAGCTGTACGGATGTGGGGTGGTATTTTGTGTCTTGCCAAATTCTTCGCTAGTGAATCTGCCCAGCTAAATTGTCCAAATGGCTCACATGATCCCAGAAATGCTAGGGCATTTATGATTTTGATCTGATACAAAGCCTGTCCACTCTGCTTATCTCTTCACCTTCACTGATGCAAGTAAATTTGCTTTTGTTTGAGCAAAAAATAAATTCAAATTTTATCTTCCAAAATGTGTTTCTTCATGTAAAAATGAAGATAGTCATGCTTTGGAATTGTTAACTATTTTAATGCAGGCATAAACATGCCTGAGATCGTTCTTACTTGATATTAGGTATTATTATGTAGACATTGAACTCAAACTTTCAGTTTCAAATACTATTTGGGAGGAATTTTATTATGCATTGAAGTAAAACAGTAACAATTATTCTGTGTAATTTGCAGGAGTTTTCCTTTCCTGAGTTTTTAAATGTAGGTAGGAAATTTTTTTAAAAAATGATTTTTGCCTCCAAATTAATGATAGGAATTGCTAGTTTGGGTCCATTCTAGGATTACCTGATTTGTTTATGTATCTTCACAAAAGAAAATAGACACTATCTTTTAAAACAAGTATAATATTAATGATTAATGTAGAGAATGTGGGTAATGAGATGAAGTGTTAAACTGGTATAAGTTCTCACACTTTCAAATGACACAAAACTCCAAAAACTCAATTATAATACTGTGAAAAATATATTTAAAGTCTATGGAAATGTGTTTTTTGGAAAACATTTGTCGAGTTTCATGAGCAACGAAAATACGATCAATTATATTAACTTTAATGAGCTATTTTAAATGAAAGAAAGTTTATCTTTTAAAAAATGATCTCTGTTTGATGAAAGATTTTTAAATTTGGAAAGAAAGATTCAGTAAATCCCGGAATTACTATATCACGAAGTATACTGACTGACATCTTATTTACCTGACTGTTGTTATAGGTAAAGGCATCAAGGCCCTGAGAAACTGCTTACAGTAATCCTGAAGCAGACAAACCAGAAATAGAATCCAGATGTTTGGACTAGATCATGCTAATAAGAATGCCTTTATCAATGTAACTCTGTATATCCTTGCAAAGGCTTTTGTTTTGTTTTGTTTTGTTTTTGTATCTGAGATCAAACTTACAACCTTGCGCCTGCCAGGAAGATGCTTTAGGTCACTGAGCTAAATACCTGGCCCTACAGAGTCATTTCGATACATAAACCTTTGTATGAAAATTGGTGTTATATTAAGCATGAATAACATGAAATTTAAAAAAGGACTTCAATTTTATTCACTAAGTGTGTTGGATAAGGTTTTCTATAAATACCTTAGACAATAGAATGGAACTGAATTCCCCAGTGTAAAAGGAAAAATTAACTTATGTCAATTTAAATTATCTTCCAGGACCAAAATGCAGTTAACTAATCAATTCCCAATGGTACGTGATGGAATCATTCACATTTGTTGTAAAGAATGCAATAGGTGGGAATTAAACAAATAAAAAAATTGAGAAAATACATCACTCAGGGAATTAATTTCTTTATTTTAAAAATAATGAGGAAAACCTGGAAGATATTCATGGTATCTTTCAGTTAAAACTTATTTCGATCATTTAAAAAAAAATCTTATCTTAAACTTTCCACCATTTCTCT